GTGTGGGGCAGGGAGGAATAAAAGTGGAGGAACATTCACTTCAAGGTGATCTGATTGTGACATCTGTGGCCCTATTGATCACCAGTTGGGTATCTTTGTTGTTTGTATCTTATGATTATCTTATGATTTACAATTTATGATTGATTATGTTATTTGTAAGTACACTGAGAGCTTATGTGTGTACACCGAGTTTGTGTTTGTATGCTTGTATGTACACTGTATGTTTATATATACAGAGCTTCTGCACCAGAGACAAATTCTTTGTGTGTTTGTTTGTCTTTGGCCAATAAAGAATTGTGTTCTGTTCTGTTGCTCTATTCTATTCTATTCTATTCTATTCTATTCTATTCTATTCTATTCTATTCTATTCTATTCTATTCTATTCTATTCTATTCTATTCTACTCTACTCTACTCTACTCTACCCTACCCTACCCTACCCTACCCTACCCTACCCTACCCTACCCTACCCTGTTTTCCATCCTAGCCTAGCCTAACCATACAGATTAATCTGGTTGTTGAGCTAAAACTCACCCACAATCTATCAAATGCTCAATATGGTTCAGCTAGCTAAGAATGTTTCCTGCAAACTAAAGCCATGTAGAACAGTTGATTGCCTTCAACAGCATGAGGCTGCAGTTCACTTTTATATCCATGTGAGTTTAAATTCCTTACTTCTTCCTGTTTTTCCCATCTTCAAAAGTCTTCTTTGCTTTATGCTCTCTGGCTTTGAATAAGAGTAGTTGTTGACATAATTGATGTGCTACCCTGAGAACTTCAGGCTGTCAGTTTCTACTTCATGGCAGGGGTTCCCTCCATCCTTCATTGCTCTACCTTCACCCCTTCCAGCTGTGCACAGAGAAGACAATACTCAGCCTTGACAGGAACATACCTGGGTTAGAACGATCCAATCAGTTCAGATGTTAGAGAAATTCTGAGTGTGAATAGATGGAAAAGATCTGAGGGCAACATCTTTCATCCCATTGATCACTGGACTTAAATTAATTGACATGATTGGCTGGTTAGGAGGTGGAGTGTTCCTACCCTTCTTCCTCATTCTCTGTGAATCTCTGCTCAAGCTTGGTACTTACTGGAAGCAGATAATGAAAAGAATTTGGATATTCTAAATCTTTCCTAAGTATCCAATGCAGCTCTGCATTTGTTGGAAAATGCAGAATAGTCAAACTGACTGTCTTATATTCCTATTTTAACAGTGTTTCTGAACTTGCTGGGTTTTTTTCTCTCATAACTGCTTCATGCAGATCTCCACAAGTGACAGCAAGCCATGGCAAACCAACTCCTTAAAGTTGCCAAGAAACCTGCATGGATAGGTATAGGTGGTCACCAGAATCCACCTGGGAAGGAATACTTTAGCTTGCGAAGTCGTGTGTGTGTGTGTGTGTGTGTGTGTGTGTGAGAGAGAGAGAGAGAGAGAGAGAGAGAGAATTTCATTTTAATTCAATTCAATTCAAACCTTTATTTTCAGAGAACATGTGTACAATGAGATTGGCTGAGCCTCCCTTCGTGCATCCCCCCAACACAATACAATTCAGTGAAAGACAAAAAAAAAAAAATCCCTAGTCCAGTGAATCCTACTAACAAACACCCAATCGTATTGCACCATGTAAACTTATTGCATGTCGTGCCGGTCCCACAAGTCAATCGTGCTATGTTGTTGTAGAGTTATTTTTCATTCAGGAGTCTGACAGCCCATGGATAAAAACTGTTCTTCAGCCTGTTTGTGCAGCTGCCTATGCTTCTATATCTCCTTCCCAATGGAAGGAGAATAAAGAAGGGCTGACCAGGGTGTGAGTCATCCCTGAGGATTTTCCTCACTCTTCTAAGGCAGCGAGCCTAAGTAAATGGAGTCTCTGTTGGTCCTTCCTGGCCACCTGGATTGTGTTGTTTTTCCAGGTGAAATCTTCACTGAGATAGACTCCCAGGAATTTAAAGGAGGAAACTCTCTCCACACAGCCCCCCTCAATATAAAGTGGTGCAGGTTCCTCTCTCTTCTTCCGGAAGTCTAACACCATCTCCTTTGTCTTGCTGTTGTTCAGATGTAGGTTGTTTTGTAAGCACCATGTGGTTTTTGAACCTCCCCCTGTATGCTGTTTCTTCTCCACCTGTAATAAGGTCCAATATGGTGGTTTCATCTGCGAACTTAATGATCACAGTGGATGGGTCAGACGATACATAATCATGTGTGTACAGTGAATACAGGTAGGGACTGAGCACACAGCCCTGTGGAGAGCCGGTGCGAAGCTTCAGGGAGGTGGATATGACAGACCCAACCCTGTTTGTGGCCAGTCCCTCAGAAAGTCTTTGATCCAGTCGCAGATGGAAGTGGGAAAATCCAAGTAAGTCAGCTTTTCAATAAGGATGCTTGGCAGAATGGTATTGAAGGCCGAGCTATAATCTATGAAAAGCACTCTGATATAGTTTCTGGGTTTCTCAAGATGGCTTGCTAATGTGTGCCATTGTGCACACACAAAAGTGACCATAAAGGTTATCTTCTACCTTCTATCTTATTTGGTTTTGTCCGTGGTAGTTCCTTGATTAGTCTGTTGTTTGCTGCCTGATTGTTTACCTGGTGTTAATCCCATCCAGCACTGAAGATGCTAGTAAGGGCAGCACCCCACTGAAGATTTTCCAGTCTATGGAACATTTCAGGTGGGACTATTTTGGCTCTGAGGTCAGGGGGTTCGAGTTTTCCATTTTGTGCACCTCCCTAATGGGTGCCCTTTGCACCAGATTTTGAACATGACTAATTTCTATTAAGTAGCATGGTCAGGGAAGACAACAACAAAAACAGCAATAACAATAAAAGGTAGCATTTGGTGGTTAGGCACCACCTCTAGGAAATCAAGAATTTACTGCATGCTGTGAATTTACAACATGCCTTTTCTGTCGCTATCAAAACCACAGGAAAGGTCTATCCTCAATGCGACTGTCTTTGAGGAAGAGACTCAGAAAGATATTAAACCAGCCCAGCCCAGGAATATACATGCTCCTTGCTTTCACTCAATATCCCTTTTATTTCCCCAAGATGTCTTTCTGGAAACCGTTCCTGGGGAACCTGCTTGAAATGCCTTCAGCCAAGAGGAAGGAAAAGGAAGCCTCAAGGGGATGACCCTCCGTGCAGTTCTGGAACTAATTGCTACACAGATACGAATAATGTTGATTTCATCAACCGATGGATTTTCCAGCCAGTATCTTAACCTTTAGAAGCTCTGCTATAGTCACTGCTGTTGTTTCTTTGCCAGAATCCTGACACTATCCTCTGGGTGAACAATTTATCATTTTCAAGTCTCAAATATTGTTTTGTCCAATTATTCATATGGCCAACAGCTGAGTTTGGTACAGCTGCTTGGCTGGTTGCCCCACCAATAGAACATAGCATCAAAAAGCTGGAAGGGACCTCACAGGTCTTCTAGTTGTGTCCTCTGCTCAAGGCAGGAGACCTTATATCATCTCAGTCAGATGGTTGTCCGGTCTATTTTTGAAAACCTGCAGTGATGGAGCACCCACCACTCTAGGAGGCAAGTTGTTTCATTGATTAATTGTTCTCACTGCCAGGAAGGTCCTCCTTATTTCCAGGTTGGATGTCCCTCTGACGAGCTTCCCCCCCCCCCATTGCTTCTTGATCTGCCCTCAGGTGCTTTGGAGAATGAGTCTTCTCTGTGACAGCCCCCCAAGTACTAGAAGACATTTCTCATGTCCCCCTTAATCCTTCTTTTCGAGGGGGTAGACCTACCTACTGTAGTTCTCTCAACCCTACATCATATGATTTAGGCTCCAGATCCTTTATCATCTTTGTAGAAGAGTATGGTGGCTTGTACGATTAAACACTGGGTTGGAGGTCAGCAAGCCTGTGTTTGAGACCCGAGTGCTGCTATGGGGTAGTGTGAGCTCCCATCCTTCACTCAAGCTCCTTCACGGGACATGAAAAAAGTTCCCAACTGGGCGTTCCCTGGGCAATGGTAATGTCATCTGCTAATCCTTTCAACCTGGAAGCACCATTGACACAAGTGTAACATGATTGTCTTTTTCTTCTCTGTACGTTAAATTCTCAGAATCTTTTTTGCATTGTGGTGACAATGAAACATTAACTGGATTTCCTAAAAACATAGAAGGGTTGGAAGGGACCTTGGAAGTCTTCAAAATGAGATAGCTTTCCCCCCCCCCTTTTTTTTTTGGTGTTCTGTAATGGATTATGGTAAATAGACACTGGAAAATGGACAGTTTCAGAAATTTGAGTTGACAAAAGAGCTATGTCAAGGGGCCAATGGCTGAAAACCAATATGTCATTCTCAGCCTAATTGACCCAGAAATGGAGATGCTCAAAACACACTTGCGATTCAGTACTGAAAGCCATCAACACTCCTAATTCTGGTTTCAACTATGCAGCATGAAATGATGGCTGTCCCCTATTCCCCAAAAATGAATCATTTTTCACCAGTCCACGTCAGAAACTGTCCTCTCTGGCCATGGATATTCAGCAAACACAACTCAGAATGATTTGTATCCAGTGAAAAAACATCTGACACATTGCAAGAACAACTTTTTTCCCCCACCTTGGCAACGTTTTTGCTTCATTAGTCCACAAAAATAGGGCTGTAAATTCTCAAGAGGCGGATGTGTTTTAAAACTAACTTTACACAAAACAGTAGCACCCAGTGTTCCTAGCAGAGAAAAGATCTATTTTAGACATGAGAATTGTATAAACAGTGTATAAATTAAAAATAAATTAAAAATGCCCATTGGGGAATATGGACTTGTTTAACAATCACAGTGATCACTTAATGACCACAAGGTTGACTTAATGACCATGGTGTTTGCCTAACTCAGGGGTCTGCAACCCTAAACACTCAAAGAGCCATTTTTCTATTTTCTTTTAAACAGATCTCTCTCTTTGTCTCTCTCTTTTCTCCCTCTCCTCTCTTTCTCCCTCTCTCTCTCTCCTCTTTTCTAGCAGAGAAAAGATCTATTTTAGACAAGAGAATTGTATAAACAGTGCATTTTTATGGAACTGAATAGCTTTAAATATATATAAAATTATACAAATTCAAGCTTCATACGGTGTCAGATTATGAAAGTTGCATTCCTGAAAAACCAACCACAATGAAAAGTTGTAAAATTCAAGCCACATTATGCACTTTGGCACCCTAATAATTTTCAAAGGACACTCAAACATACATTTTTGTAGTGGTATGCAAATACTCAACATGGAGACTTACACATAAATAGAACATAGAATAACAGAGTTGGAAGGGACCTTGGAGTCTTCTAGTCCAACCCCCCTGCAGGAGACCCTTTTCAGATACCATTTCAGATAAATGGTTGTCCACTCTTTTTTTGAAAGCCACAACTTTCAAAACCCACAACTTCCGAAGGCAAGCCTTTCCATTGGTTAATTGCTGTCACTATTAAGAAATTTATCCTTAGTTCTAGGTTGCTTCTCTCCTTGATTAGTTTCCATCCATTGTTTCTTCTCTTGCCTTCAGGTGCTTTGGTAAATAAGTTGGCCTCCTCTTCCTTGTGGCAGTTCTTCAAGTATTGAAACACTGCTATCATGTCATCCCTTGTCCTTCTTTTTACTAGACTACATACCCAGTTCCTCCAATCATTCTTTGTATGTTTCATGCATTCTCTTCTCACTGTTGCCTTGAATTACTACTGAAGTTGTAATGATAAACAGGATCACACTTTGCTGAATTGGAGAAATCAGGATGTTGGATACAAAATATGTTATCACAAATTCATTCAGAATCATTGATGCTTGTTAAAATTTAGGGCTGAATGTACAAACAGTTCTGATGTTGATGTGAAAGGGATGTTTGTACTTTTCATTAGACTACACATATCCAATTCCTGTAACTGTTCTTCATATTTTAGCTTCCAGACCCCTAATTATCCTTGTTGCTCTTCTCTGCACTCTTTCCAAAGTCTCAACAACTTTTTTATATTGTGGTGACCACAACAGGATACAGTACTCGAGGTGTGATCTTACTAAGGCTTTGTAAAACCTTATAGTTGATTTGATACTGCAGTATTAAATAGTATATGGTGGTCAAATCAAATTGGAAAGGCAATGTAAATTGTTGAATCGAATGCCTCCAAATCAAGACCAGATCTACACTTAAAAGACTACATCTAATAATAAACGTAACTCAGTTTTCTAAACTGAATTAGAAACCTGAACCAATCTGAAGACATCAGTCCAATTGTAGCTAATCAGCTTTAATGCTTAGATATTTTCTTAAAGTAGTCAAAGTGTTTCATGTCCAGTGTAATCCTCTAAATGCCCATATGGAAATACATCTAGTTAATAAGACTCTCTCCCAAGTAAGTGTGTATTGGCTAAATGACGTACTGTGAAATTATTCTAATAATCCCTGAAATACATAATTGACTACATTGTCCCAAAGCTGTATTTTAGAGGAATATAAACTGAAATTACTGAAGAACCCTCTAAGGTGTAAAAGCTCCAGTCATCAATGCCCATGACAATCACAGATTAGTTTCCTGGAAAAAATAGTGCACGTTCCATAAGACTCAACTGTATTCTTCACATTTTCAGAAAACAAAATTTTTGTCTGATATGTGCCAGATCATTGTCTTCTAAGTTGGATCTGCCCTTCATCTTGAACCTGCAAGTCCTCAAATTTCCAACCTGCAGGCTTTGACCATTATTAGAAGATGCCCTGTTGTTGAGCTACAAGCCCCACTGGGCTACCTTCTCCAAAGAACTTGGAAAAGCTAGTTCAGTAAAACCTGAAGGACCACAGAAAATTAAACTCCTGTTTAATTTACAATAGCCTGGGCAGGATGACACTCAGCTTTCATATCTGAAGGCCTTCCAGTATTTATAGGCAGTTCAGCTTTCAGAGAAGCAGTAAATATGAAATTAAATAAGCCGTTGAAGACATCATGCATGGTTTATGTGTTCCAAGCTCCAAAGACGTGTTGTAGACCCTTTTTTCAGGTTGAGCTAATGTCCAATAAGTCTAAGTACTCCAACTATCCACAGAAGAAAAGTGAACTATACATAAGGCATTCTGTGTTGTTTTCTCCTCTCAACACATTTGAATGTTTAAATGCATCCAATTTTTCCTTAATATTTAGGAAAACCAGTTTTAAATGCTATCATAGAGAGGGAGGGAAATAGAACGTATTTCAGTTCTATGTGTGACTTTTTTTTTAGAACTATACTTCATTAAATTTAGCAATGACAGTCAGTGAATGTGATTTTGTATCATGTGTAATCACTTCCTGCAATGTTAGCTATGCTGCAGAACAATACATTCTCTTTTCCAAACCTCTATAAATAACAAGACCAATTTTACAAAAGTCTAAAATAAAGAAATGACGAGAATCCAGTCTCGACACCAGAGAATGAAAAGAATAGCATTTGTTTGTTTGTTTTTATAAATCCACTTAGGTAAAGATTTTCAATCTGATGAGAGTTCCTTCTGAAGCAAAGCCAGTGTCCTCTCCAGATCTCATTCCATCTCAAATGGATTAATTGGAACTGTTCCACAAGAGGAAAACACCCATCTTCTCTATGCATGAGGTCCAACCAAAGGGTTAAGGAAGATCAGGAATTGTTCATCCCACCCATCCATACAACTCTACATACATGGCTTCCATGTAAAAACTCACAAACAATATACTTCCATTTGTCAACATGCACAATATTCCCTGAACGTGTTTTCAGTATCAGCATAATCTTACAGGCCTTTCTCTCCCATCTCCACACCCTTAAGATATAATTATTTGGCATCGTGCGACTTCTTTTTTTTTTTCTAGGCACTGATCAACATTTGGAATGTAACATTCTAATTTCAAAATATTGTAAAGAAAAAGGAGGAAAAAAGAAAATAGAGACAGTGGTCCTGATACGGACATCACTAAGAGGAGGTTGGGGTTGCACGCCCTGGTCTTCACCCATCAGCATGCAGAGGAAGGCTGGAGGTGAATGTGTCTCCTTCAAACAAAACAATGTTGAAAAACAATTCACAAAAATTAGAGCAGGAGGCCATCCAGCATTTTAACCAAAGACATATAGTGGCTTTAAGTTCTAGATGAATTCAATGTTTTCTAAGCCTCCGGCTTCCTTTCGTTTCCCTTTACAATCGTGGTACAAAGAATGAAGATCAATTGGTCTTTGTGGATAGTTTTTATCTTGGTAAATAAAAGCCGGACTTCACTGCATCAATATCAGAAATCAGCGTCTTAGCCAGGAAAATCCCAAATATCTAATGAAAAATGGGGGGGGGAGGGGGAGAGAGAGAAGTCCAATTTAGAGTAGATAAGTGATTTCACATATTTCCCCAAATAATGACAGAAACCAATATTATCTTGTTGGCTCTTTCATGTCCACAAGGCACGAATGATCAGCCTAAAATTATTGTACCTTGGAGATGTTAGTCAAAGACCTAGTTCTCTGGAGAAGGCTCTGATGCTTGGAAAGGTGGGAAGAGGAACAGGAAAAAGTAGGAAGAGGAAAAGAAGGAGGGGGAGGGAGAAGGAGGAGGAGGAGGAGGAGGAGGAGGAGGAGGAGGAGGAAGAGGAGGAGGAGGAGGAGGAGGAGAAGAAGAAGAAGAAGAAGAAGAAGAAGGAGGAGGAGGAGGAGGAGGAGGAGGAGGAGGAGGAGGAGGAGGAGGAGCAGCAGCAGCAGCAGCAGCAGCAGCAGCAGCAGCAGCAATAGGGTGGACGGACTCTGTTTCAGTGGTGATTGGTGCACCATAGAAGATTTGAAGGATCAAGCTAGGGGCAGATTGTCATGTAGAACAGGGGTCTAGGACCAGCACTGGTCCATGGTATGCCAGAAACAAGCGCAGCCCCATCCTCTCTCCACAGAACTGGTCCCTGGTGCCCAAAGGTTTGGTGATGTAAAAAATCTGTCTATGTGGTTGCTAAGTCAACACAGACCTGATGGCACTTAATCAATATTTCATGTGGTTTCAGGCAGTGGTGGTATTCAAATTTTTTTTACTACCGGTTCTGTGGGTGTGGCTTGTTTGGTGGGCGTGGCTTGGTGGTCATATGACTGGGTGGGCGTAGCTTGGTGGTCATGTGACTGGTGGGTGTGGCTTGGTGGTCACGATCCTAGTTCCCCGTACGAGGATTCCTGCATTCCGGACCTTTTGCAATCCCCCAAAGGGTCAAAGGAAACCAGATTCCATACAGCTCTGAACCCTTAAGGCAAACCAAATACAAGTGGTCCTCGCTTAATGGCCAGTTGCTTAGCAAGTGTTCAAATTTACGACTGATCTCCCCACAACTACTTGATCTGTTTTTAGAGTTTTGACAGCCATGCACATACACACGCACACATGACCAGTTACAACATCCCACAGAGTCATGTGACTGAGGTTTTCTATGTTTTTGCCAGTTTCCAACAATTCCTCCTGGTTTCCATTTAAAAATGCCCATTGGGGAAAATGGACTTGTTTAACAACAGTGTTCGCTTAATGACCACAAGGTTCACTTAACGACTATGGTGTTTGCCTAAATCAGGGGTCTGCAACCCTAAACACTCAAAGAGCTATTTTTCTATTTTCTTTTAAACAGGTATCTCTCTCTCTATCTCTCTCTTTTCTCCCTCTCTCCCTCTCCTCTTTCTCCCTCTCTGTCATCTCCTCTCTTTCTCTCTCATCTCTTTCTTTCTCCCTATCTCTCTCATCTCTCCCTCTCTATCTTTCTCTCTCCTCCTCTCCTCTCATCTCTCTCTCATCTTTCTCTGTATCTTGTCTCTCTCTTTCCCCCTCTCTCTGTGTCTGTTCTCTCTTTCCCTTCCCCCCCTCTTCTCTTTCCCTCTCCCCTCTCTGTGTCTGTCTCTCTTTCCCTTCCCCTGTCTCTTCTCCCTTTTCCTCCCCCTTCTCTCTCTATGTCTGTCTCTCTTTCCCTTCCCCCCTCTCATCTCTCTCTTTCTCCCTCTGTCCATGGGGGTAGGGGCGGAGGAAGGAACCTCTGAACTGGTGCTGGGTGGTGGGAATCTGACGTCCAGAGGCTGACGAGCCAGGTACTGAAGACCAGATTGGGGCAATCCTGCAGTATCCCCAAAAATAACAGATGTTTTGTCACTTGTGAGCACTTCTGGTGAGGAGAAAGAGAAACGTGGTGGGAGGAGGCTTGGCGGGTGTCAGAGGGGCAGCGAGTGCTTCACGGCTCCTAAGGGGTTCAAGCCTCCCCACTCACTTCTTCACCTGTGCCACCTTCACTGGCAGCCGCTTCCTGCATCGGGAGGTCCGTGCTCTTCTCACTGCTGCTTGGCCTCCTCAATGCACGGAGGCAGGAGGCGGCAGATTTTTCGTTGCCTTCAAGCTGCAGGCAGCGAGCAGCACAGCGAATAAGCCAGCAATCTGCCGGCTGCATCTACTCTGCAGTTTACTCATGAGCACCATGCTCACTAGTAAACGTGCTCACAAGTAAACTGCAGATTAGAGGCATCCGGCAGATCACTGACTTACTCGCTCTGCTGCTCGCCGCCTGCAGCTCGAAGGCGGTGAAAAAACTGCCGCGTCCTGTCTCTGCGCATCGAAGCCGAGCAGCAGCGAGAAGAGCACAGACCTCCTGACGCAGGAAGCAGCTGCCAGCAATGTCCTCAGGTGAAGCTGTTGTGAGCGGTGAGGCTCGACCCCCCTTATGAGCCTCAGTTTATTCGTGAGCACCATTGGCCTTTCTTCATGCCTCTCCTGGCCAATGTTGCTCACAAGTAAACTGCAGCTAGGATCTCCCACGTGCTTCCCTTGCAGGCTGGGGGAAACACACGGGAAGAGCTCCAATGCCGCGATCTCCCACATACTCCCCTCCCTCCCCGTGCCACCCACCGCTGGTATCACCCCTCCGCCAGCTCTCCCTCCCCCGCCCACCCACTGGCCCATGCCCTTCAGCCTTACCTTTGCCAGCAGCAGTGAGGGGTTAGATTCTGCAAGTAGTGGCTGGGCGGGGTGGGGCAGGATGGGGCAAGGTGGGCAGGCAGGCAGGGCGAGCATCAAGTGGGCGGGCAGGGTGAGCGAGCAGGGACCGGGCAAGCGGTTTGGGGGCATGACCAAACAGAGGTCAGTACCAGTTTGGAGAACTATGCCAAATTTCCACTAACGGTTCGCCTGAACCGGTGCAAATTGGCTGAATACCACCTCTGGTTTCAGGGAACATAAAGTGTTTTGAATTCAAAATGTTCCACTTTCAAATTGAAGAAACTTCTTGGATGATAAGCAAAACATTATCAAAGGAAAAAGAAACCAAGAAAGTCCAGTTGCCTTTTTGGAATAAAACACCTTTGGGACCAGGTTCTAAAGAAAGACATTCTGGCTGAACCTCTGTCCTGGTATTTCTGAAACTGGCGATGATATTTCTCCAACTTTAAATGATATAGTGGGGTGTTTCCATACTCCTCTGCTGTCTTCTTCTCAAGCTTTTAGAGATGAAAGGAGGGACTGTGATAGGTTTGAAGAAGAATTGAAGAATTGAGAGATGCCTTCTGGACAGGCCTTGTTACAGATGTGTGCAAAACAAGCAGAATTCAGAATAACCTGTTTTCAAACCTCAAGCAGGATGTTCTAACCCCACTAGAAATATTCTGAGCTCAAAACACTTCTAGTAAGATCAGAAAAACTTTGAAACCTTCTCTTCAGTTATTGAAATAATTGAAATCTGTCGATTTTCTCAGAGTCATAGCCTTAGAAAAGGTTTTAGCCTTTGCAGTCTAATATATAGAAGTTTTCCAAAGCAGCATGCAGCTCAGTTCTCTCAACCTGGCTTTTACTATGGCCAATAATTCATCAGTAGCAAAAGAAGTATAAAAAAAAGGAAGAGCTGTATACTTCCTCATTCTACATTGCACTGCACTTTAGATAAAATACAGCATCTTTGAATGACATCGTTACATCTCTAACTTGGTGTCCCTCTGTAAGAAATATACAAATTGTAGTGGCGTTCAAATTACTGGTATCAGGCTTCAAACTCTGTTCAGGACAAAACTTCACAGCAGGTTCACTTTCTAAGGCCTCTTTCATTCTCAAAATAATGTTAGAAAATGATCCCCCCAAAGCCCATTTGGCCTACAAAACAGGACATGTTGTGAAGTTTTCAGCTCAAACTCGTTTGTAATGAAATGTGTTGCAGACCATCTCTTACAGATGATGGGAATGGGGGTCAATCCTTGACAAGTTGGGAAATGCATAAATTAAATATGTAGCCTGCAGTCACTCACCTGCAATAATGAAATCGCAACAAAGACGCCTGCAACAATATAAATATTTCTGGGCAGCCAGGTTAGCAGAGCAGTGATGCAGCCCCTCATGAAGATTCGTTCATTCCAATTCGATGAAGGCTAAAAGAAGAAATGGAGATGGGTGAGATGGAGGACCGAAAGGAAGATTAGTACTTGGATGGAGACCTACCAAAAAAATTCCAGAACAAGAGAAGTTTTTATTTTATTTATTTAGATTGTTTTTGTTGGTTGGTTGGTTGGTAGGTTGGTTGGTCGGTCAGTCAGTCAGTTGGTTGGTTAGTCGATTGGTTGGTTGGTAGGTTGGTTGGTTGGTTGGTATGTAGGTAGGTAGATTGGTTAGTTAGTAGGTTGGTTGGTTGGTTGGTTGGTTGAAAAATCCCTGAAGACAATGGCAAACCATTTCTGTGATGTTGCCAAAAATACAGGTAGTCCTTGACTTATGACCATAATTGGAACCATTGTTAAGCAAGGCACTTGTTAAGTGAGATTTCACAACCATTTTTGCTATGGCTGTTAAGGAAATCACTGCACTTAGGGAAATGTGAAGTTATTAAGCAAATCTGGCTTCCCTCATTCACTTTGCTTGTCAGAAGACAGTTGGGAAGTTTGCAAATGCCAATCATGTGACCCCGGGATGCTACAACCATAATATATTCGTGCCAGTTGCCATCGCCTGGATTTTGATCATGTGACCATGGGGATGCTGACACAATTTTAAGTCTGAGGACCAATTGTAAGTCACCTTTTTCAGCCATGTTGCAACTTTAAATGATCACTAAATGAATAACTGTAAGGAGAATTAGATGTGAAACAAACAACCAATGAGGTGACATTCATTTTTTTTTTCCAATAAAAAGAAGACTCAAAGAACAAGAACAGGAAACAATCTGCTTTGCTTAATAAAATGCTTACAATGATTTTCCTAGAAAAGCTAATTTCAGCCAAGTAAACCTCATATTTGGGCCCTTTGGTCAGCAAATGTCATCAATGCGATGGATATGTGCGTTACTCAGCAAAATTCCTCCAAATTGCTACCAACAATTATCAGACAGACAGAAATGAACTGAATTGAATTGAGCGGATGTGGACACGAAGAACCATTCATGCAGATGTTTTGTGGGCAACCCTGGAGGGCATCTCTTTCTTCCACCAACATCATCACCCTAAATATTTTTTGACTCAACCAAACCGTCCTGCAGAATCCGAACATCAGGAGGAAAATCGGTGATTGCCAGACAGAAAACAAGGCTGAGAACAATTGGATTTTGGTGTGGGATTGAACTAGGCACCATGCCAGTTTACTGTGATAAATAAAGAGGACCTGGAGGAAAAGCTACCCATTCATCCATAAGGGACAAGACAAAAAAATATATTGTGTATTTCTCAAAATTAAACACCGGAGGGAGCAATCTGAAAGTCAACTTGATCCTTACAGGGCAGCCAAAGCTCTAAACAAAATGGCGATTTATCCATTCTGAGAAACACAAGGTTCAAGGAACAAATCTGTTAAAACACTACAGGCCTCTAATGCTGCTTCAGTTCACCAGCTGCACAAAGGAACCACACCAGCCTGGAGGTAAGAAGTCTTCCATGCTTTAGAGCCGCGGTGGCACAGTGTTTAGAATGAAATACTGCAGGCTACTTCTGCTGACTGCCAGCTGCCTATAATTCTGCAGTTCAAATCTCACTGGGCTCAAGCTTTCCATCCTTCCGAAGTAGGTAAAACGAGGACCCAGGTTGTTGGGGGCATGTTTCATTGGCTAATCATTTGCTTTATTCTTTTTTTCCACCCAAAATCCCCTATCTTCTACAGCAGGGGTTCCTAATCCGTGAACCAGCACCAGTCCATGGCAGGCCAGTCTGCACAAACAAGCAAAGCCTCATCTGTGGGACGTAGGCAGAACACAAAACCATGCCCCCTCCGGTCCACGGAAAAACCCTCACTCCACGGAACTGGTCCCTGGTGCCCAAAGGTTTGTGGGCTTCTGTTCTACAGAACACTAGGATGATGAAAGGATGTGAGGAATGAGGGAAGGGAAGGAAAGGGAGAATTAGGAAATACTCACCATATTTCTGACATCATAGCCACACTGGGTATTCACCACATTTTGCTGAAGAGAGAGAAGAAAAGGAGTTGACATAACTTCTCACAACACTTCAGGGAAGAGATTTATTTCACCTTTCCACCAAGGATTCTCAATGACACCGTTTTTGCTTCAATTTTCCAACATAGCAATCATAGCAGACCAAAACTGTCTCACAATATTCCAGAACAAAAGTACACCTGAACATGAAGCTCTGTAATCCTTCACTATTAATCTAAATTCTGTAAATGGCTCAATCTGGTTAAAAGGTTAAGCGTCAAGCAGGCTTCTCTGGCACTGCACATGAGGGAACATCCACATCGGTCATTCGTAGACGGCTGCACAGTTGTTGCATTCATACATCTGCAAATGTTAACATTTTGACTAGGGAGCACTTGAACAGCAAAGCACAGAACAGGACGATGGATCAACCAATCAACATGCGGGATGTGCATCTCTACACAATGCCCAGTTGGGCCTTGAGAGGTGTTTGCATTGACCCATCTGTGGCCATCTGGAACCTATGCTAACCCTAACCCTTTGCAGCATAGATATGTGGCAAGAGCTACGGGCAGTTGTGGGCAATCCTATAAATCAGCCTTTATGCATGTGACATGATCAATTCTTATGCCAGAGACCAAAGCTGAAACATGTGAAGCATTCCTGGAAAATGATGTAGCATCAATTTATTTTCAATTTATTACTTTGTCATTTGTGGATTTTTTGATTTAAAAAATACGGTTAAGGAACCAGTAAGAGAATGTATGATAAAGGGAGCTAAAAAAATTTGGTTGTAATATGGATATGGATATGTAATATGTAATGCATGGAATAAGGGTAAAGACGGCAGCCAAAAGAATTGAAATTTATGTTATGTTATCACCTTGAAGAGATTTTTTACAAAATGACGTACCATTGATAGGAGTAATCAGAGACATTGTCTAGAATGTATAAAGGTGCATCAAATTTATGTTGAAATATGACAATGTGAAGGGATATTTTGTCATTATTTGGTGGATGTGTAAAAAAACTGTAAAATTCTGGATTTAGATACGTATTCTGAGTCAGAGGATTTTAAAGATTAATATGCAATTGAGTCTTCCTCTTGGGACTGATGGACAATCAGTGGGGAAAAAAATAATAGAACTTTGTTTTTATATATGATAACCACAACAAAGTTACTGTATGCACAAAGATAGATTTGGTATTGTCCACAATAGAGGAATGGTTGGTGAAGATTATGGAATTTGCTGAAATAGCTAAATCGACTTCTTTGATTAGAGAAAAGATGTTGAGACTCTAGAAAAAGTGCAGAGAAGAACAACAAAGATGATTAGGGGATGGGAGGATAAATATATGAAGAATGGTTGCAGGAATTGGTTAGGTCTTGTCTAATGAAAAGAAGGACTAGGGAGGACATGATAACAGTGCTTCAATATCTGAGGGGTTGTCAGAAAGGAGAGGCCAACCTATTTTCCAGAGCACCTGAAAGCAGGACAACCACCAATGGATGGAAACTAATCAAGGAGAGAAGCAACCTAGAACTAAGGAGAAATTTCCTGACAGTGAGAACAATGAATCAGTGGAACGGGTTGCCTCCACTGGAGGTTTTCAAAAAGAGATTGGACAACCTTTTGTCTGAAATGGGATAGGGTTTCCTGCCTGATCAAGGGTTCAGATTAGAATGTTGAAGGTCTTCGAGTCCAACACCCTGATCAGGCAGGAAACCCTAAACCATTCCAGAAAAACGGTTGTTCAAACTGTTTTTGAAAACTTTCAGTGATGGAGCACCCACAACTTCTGGAGGTAACCTGTTCCACTGATTCATTGTTCTGTCAGGAAATTTCTCCTTAGTTTTAGGTTGCTTCTCTCCTTGATTAGTTTCCATCCGTTGCTTCTTGTCCTGCCTTCAGGTGCTTTGGAGAATAAGTTGGGACAAGGAGACAGGAAGTAGCTCACTGCAGGATCTTGGATACAACAGGAAAAGGGGACTCCGCATCTTTCCCGACTTTTGCTCGCACTGCTACAGTTGAAATAAATGTTGAGGTTCCAATCATCTGGATCCTGAGCACCACAACATTGGTTCTACAAGAGAGGAAACAAAAGAGAGAAAATGCATTTGAGCATCTGATATACATAACAACAGCTGAGATAGGGCATGAAGAAGGTAAGCAACATCAGACTGTTTAAGAACAGCTCTTCATTCCAGAGCAGAAGCCTAGACTACAAAATTAAATAGCATCCTAGGAAAAGTAATGAATCAGAATACAGCTGGAAAGATCTTCTAGTCCAGCCCCCTGCTCAAGCAGGAGACCCTGTACCATTTCAAACAGGTGGCTCTCCAATCTTTTCTTGAAAACCTCCAGTGGTGAAGCACCCACAACTTTTGAAGGCAAGGTGTTCCACTGGTTAATTGTCCTCTCTGTTAGGAAGTTTCTCCTTAATTCCATGTTGCTTCTCTCTTTGGTTAGTTTCCACCCATTGTTGCTTCCTCTCCTGCCTTCAGGTGCTTTGGAGAAAAGCTTGATTCCCTCTTCTTTGTGTGGCAGGTGCTTAAATACTAGAAGGATGCTATCAAGTTCTCCCCCTAGTCCTTCTTTTCTCTAGACTAGCCATACTCAATTCTTGCAACTGTTCTTCATATGTTTTTATCTCCAGGCCTTTAATCATCTTAGTCGCTCTTCTTTGCACTTTTTCCAAAGTCTCAACATCTTTTTTGTAATGTGACCAAAACTGAATGAAGTACCCCAGCTGTGGTCTTACCAAGGATTTATAAAGTGGTACTAATACTGCATGTGATTTTGATTCTGTGCCTCTGATTATACAACCAAGGACTTGTATTAGCTTTTTTGGCTGCCACTGCACATTGCTGGCTCATGTTTCAGTGATTGTTCACTAGGACTCCAAGGTCATTCTCACAGTTACTATTTTTGAGTAATCTGTACTCGTACCTTTGTTTTTTCTTGCCTATGTGTAAAACCTTGTTTTTCTCCATTGTAAAACACAACCAGTGACTTAGTGACTGTTTCAAGTTATGACCTACCAGGAAAATGGGATTTATGACCTGGATCCAAATTTCAACAGTCACCCTGCCACCATAATAACTTGATATTTGGCACATAGCCATATTTTTAGTATTTGTAGTGTCTTCTGGTCACATGACCCCATGTTATAATGGTTTTGTCTTCCTTCCAGTTTTGGGACTTCCTTCCAGTTTTCAGCAAAACTGCACTTTTGCAAACAATGGGTTTTGGCTTAACCACCACAGCATTTGCTTAGCACCACTGTGTTTGCTTAATGACTGCCATAAAGATTTTTAAATCACATGACTGATCTGTTTTATGACCATCACAACTTATGACTATAATGGGTAGGCTCCATGATATTCGTAACACAAGGATTATCTGTACCTCGTTATTATTCCCTGGAAAATGACATGGATGGGACCATGAAGACCAGGAACTAAATTTAGCTTCCATGGACAAAAGTCTTCAGAGGTTAAGAGAACTAAAATGTGGCTATTTAATCTTTTTTATTATTATTCCACTGTCTCCTATGGAAGACACAAATCACTCCTAACAGAAATCTGAACAGATCGCTTGCAAAAGCTTTGGAAATTATGCTGAAGGTCACATGAAATTAAATAGGAGTCTCCAAGCTGCCCACCTCTATGTTAGGAAGAAGAAAAAGTTTTGAAAAGACAACCCAGGAGAAAAACTTGCAAACTTACACAGATGTGCTTCCCCCTCTGTGGTCACCTACCCTGCTGTTCTCCTTGATCAAGTGCTTCCTCCCTTAGAAATGAGGTCTTTTTTTCTAAGTAATGTGGATAAAACAGTTTGGAACCTAATTTCTGCATATGGTGACAGCTGCAAGGATTGCTAAATATTCGAAAGAAAAAGGAATACAGACAGTGGAAAGATGGATTTTGAAATTGAATGAGTTAGCAGAGAGTGCGAAATTAATTGCATTGATTTGAGGCAAAGGTTTGGGACAGATTTATAAGAGATTGGAAGCAGTTTGTGGAGTTTCTGGGAATTAAATATAATAATGGACTCTTAACAGAAGGCTTTGAAGTTCAATTTATTTTTGAGGTTCAACAATTAACAGCTTTCTTACACTGAACAGGTATTGGATCGGCTTGATTGACAAACAATATATTTGTATATTTGGGATATTCATTAAGAGAAAGAGATGTAAAATAGTGATTTAGCAAGCACTGATGGAAAATGTATAGCAATTTGTAGATCCCTAATGCAAGGGGAGAGGGGGAACCTATTAGATTTGAGACACAGGTATCAGCATTCAACCAGAGTGGAAGTTACATGCCTACTGTAAATTTTATATTTGTAATATACAGGGTTTTTTTTCTTTTTTGTGTCTTGTTTCTTAATTCTTTTTTTAAATTTTGTATTTTTATCTTTGGGAAGAAAGAAAGAAAGAGAGAGAGAGAGAGAGAGAGAGAGAGAGAGAGAGAGAGAGAGAGAAAGAAAGAGGACAGCATTTATTACTGGCTCCACAATTTAAAACAAAATGTGATGTAGATCAGCCATGGTTAACCCAACAACTTACCATTTTTTGCAATGAATCAATGAGGTTCTGCAAGTCAATGTCATCTCTGTAGGCCTTAATGTTGTTTTTGAAGAAAGTTTCTATTCGGTCTTTCACCCAGTCCTGGAACAAGAATGCCAGAACAGCCAAGGCCAACTCCAGAATGAAAATGAGCACGATGGTCCCACAGAACTACAGCAAAGAGAGAAGGAATGGAGAGAGAGAAAGAGTCAACCGATTTTAGGAAGGGGAAGAATGCTTCCATCAAAAACAGAAGAAATCCAGTTGAGGGATCCTTGGTGCTCTCTGAATGAACGGATGTTTCGTGACCCAAACTAGGTAACATCATCAGTGCTAGTCATCATCATGAACATCAATCTAGTTTACCTAATTTGGGTCATGAAACATCTGTAAGAAAACAACCAAGCTCAGAGAATACCAAGGATCCTTCATTTCAACTCTGAACTACAAATATTCTCCTTTATTGGGAGCCAGCTGGTTTTCAACAGTGCTCCAGAGAATTCAAGTTGATCTTTAGGAGATTATCAGCAATTTAATTGGAAGATTATTCCATGGAAATGGCCAACCGCATTGAAAGGATCAACTGCTCCAATTACACAAGGGTGTAGATAATTCCCAACTGCGATATATCTTGGCTGTTCCCCATGATTGTTTAAGAGAATTTTGAGTTTGGCTCTGGGTGTTATAGATGCCAAAGGTTCCCCCAAAGACAAAAAGTCTGAAAATCCTTGAAACAAATCAAGACTTTTCCTGCAGAAAAAAGGCATCTCTCTATTTTCATAAGGAAAATAAAAACTCCCCATGACCTCCCCACCCCAGCAAAACCTCCTAGATGGTGGCATCAACTAACACCCCATGCTTTGCTTGTAACAATCTTCAAAATCTATTAAGATATCATGCCATAATTCACAGCCTTTGACAACAAGGAAAGCTAGATAGAGAAAATTGCTTCTTTGAAAAAAATGGGAGCAGGAGAACAGCAGTCTTCAATAACACATATCTCAGATTGATTTGAGCCACGAGATAAACTGAATTGGTAACAAAGAGAGAAATTGAGGCCTTTGAAGCTGCTCACCATTCTTTTTTGTTTCTTCTACCTAGCGGTTCATCAGCCAATTAATGTGAATCCCAAAAAAGCAATATTGTTACAGTTAGGATTTGTATTTTGCTTCATTTTATGCTTTATCTCTGCAGAAGTTTCGTTTTCAGCAATTTGCAAGATATAAAATTGCAGTAAATAAATAAGTTGATAAATACAACAGAAAAGTATTGCATCATAGGAATGGTCAGTCACCTTACCTATCAAAAAGAAGTCCTCTTCTCTGATATTCCCTACCTCGTGAAATATTCCCCTGGTTCACACGCAACTACACACATTGTGAAAATTATCTTTGTTATCCCAAAGATGAGATACTGATGGTATATCTATCTCTGACATTTAGGGCAGGAATTCTGGGATACATCTGGAGAGCAACAGGTTGGAGAAGGTTCATTAAGGCTTTTGTCCTCCTGTATCTTGGTTGATATTGTCCCAAAGGTGCTCTTTCAAAAGACAACTGGACTTTGTTTTTCCTTGAAGACATTTCAAGCTTCTTCAGTTCTTCCTCTTCATAGATGAGAAGTGAAACGTCTTCAGGGAAGAAGCAGAAAGTCCAATTGCCTTTTGAAAAAGCACCTTTGGGACAGCCATGACCTGGATGACTGAGAATCTCCATAGACACTTGGCTGATATTATTAGGAACATCCAAGATATGAATTCAATTGCCCTAACAAGGCAAAAGCAGACACTCATGCTTAGGTTTGATGGAAGTGTTTCTCAGTCATACTGAATTCTAATTCATTATTTGTTTTTATGGTAAAGAATGTAGGCTGGAATTACTTTCTCATGTAAGTATGTGAGTTTGTGCTCATACTTTGGAACCTGGTTTGATTCTGTACTTTATTTTCTCCTACAGAGACAACCACAACAAAGAGCTTAATCTCTTTTCCAGAGTAACTGCAAACAGGAACAAATCTGCATCAAAACAATGACATTAGCAGCAATCTAGTAACATATACTTCATTATATATTTGATCACCTGGTTCTTTCCAATTGTGATGGGATTACAACTTCCAGTATTCCCAAAAGCAGGGTAGTCTGCTGAGTAGTCTGGAAACTACTTTGAGAAAGTCATGTTCAATGTAAGGTAATGAAAATGCAAATTTTCTAAGGCATTGTTCAGAACTTTCCAATTAAGTGACAGCCTTCCAGTAATGCTGTTAGAATTGGGATACAAAGAAATAGATGGTCATTAGATGGCAGGAATGTTGCTGCTTTCTAATGGTGGTTTGGATTTTTTGATAGGGTAGTCCAGTTCTGCACAAATGGCTCCCCCCCCACCCCGCAACAAAAATACATCAGAATCCAGCAACTTACAAATTTCAAAAGGCAAATATTTTCACGCAGGGCTCCCACGCAGCCGGCAAACCCCAGAACGAACATCACCCCTCCAACGAACAAGATAAGGAACACAGGATCAAAGCCATGCAGGCGAGTCATCTTGGATAGGTCAGACAACACACCCTAAAATGGAACACAAAGAAACAAGGACGAAGTCCTGCTGAAGCTTCACGTGTGACAAACAATGCAGGCATTCCCAATGACAATCAAGTGCCATGAGTATGCCAGGGTTCTACAAAAGTACAGAAAATGTTTAGCCTTTTTTTTAAAAAATAATTTTTATTGAAGAGTTTTGTGGGGTTTTTTTAAAATGAAAAAGAATCTTTTACAATATTCTTCTTTTCAACAATTCGGTAAACATTTCTTACATATCCATTTTTTCTCCTTTATTTCCATGTATTTATACATATAATTCTAATATTGATTTATTTACCTATATACATATAGATAACAATGTTCACAATTTCATACCTACGATCTGCATCTTTTCTGTTTCCTCTTGTTTGTTACTGCATTTCCACTCCTATATCTTCCTCATTTACTCTTGCCTTTTATCCCTCTCCTCTAACCATTCATACCATTTCTCCCACACTGTATAATATTGTTTCCTCTTTTTCTTGTATTTCCTTTGTAAGTTTGTCCATTTCTGCACACACTTGTTAGAAAACTTTTATAATCAAATTAACTTCTGTTGGTATATTGTTATTTTTCCAATTTTGTGCATATATTATTCCTGCTGCTGTTATAATATGTATAATTAAATATTTTATTTTTTTTGTAAGTCCCTGGGAGGATTCCTAATAAAAATATTTCTGGCTTCATCTCTATATGCTGTTTGGTTATCTCTTTTAATTGTATTCTAATTTTACTCCAATATTGTTTTGCTTTGGGGCACATCCACCACATGTGGTAATAAGTTCCCCGATGTTGTTTACTGTAAGGATTGCCTCTCCTTCCAATTTAAGAATGTAAAGACTCTTGAAACGTGGTACTTCAAAAGGATCCTTTTATTAAGCAGAAGTGATAGCAACCAAGTTAAAGCAAGATCTAAATACCCTTAGGCAAGACAAGTAGGATTAAAGCAGTAGAGACCCCTCCCTTTAAGTCAGAATGCAGATTTTAGCCAATACACAAGTGTGAAAATTTTCACACTATTTTCTTTACTATTTTCCCTGAGAACCTGAATAGCCATGTATTCACACCATTATCCTTTAAAGTGAAACATCCCACATGGCTATCATAAACATTCCTCCACATTAAGAGGATCTCAGGGCTCTGGCGCCAAGATATAGGTTGTAAAATATCTGTTGACACAGGCAATGCTAGTAAATCGAATCCAAGTCTCCCCCTTCTCCCAATTGATTGGCAGTGTTACTTTTAGGGATCTGACATTTACATTTCCAGCACATTGATGGGGTGTTGGGGAACATTTTAACCAGCCTTGCCAGTGGAAGATGCCACCTATAGAACATTTTGTACATATTTTCTTATAGACATTGTCAGTTCGTAATTTTTATTCCATAATTTCTCCCATTTATCCAATTCAATGTTGTATCCAAAATTTTTAGCCCAAATTATCATATTTTCTTTAACTACCTCATCCATTTTGTATCTTAATAAATAATTATATTTTTTTATCAATTTGTCCTCTGTGCCTTGAAGAATTTTATCTAACTCGTGTGTCTCTTTTTGAAATCCATATTCTGTTAAATCTGTCCTATATCTAGATTGTATCTCCATGTATGGCCACCAATCAATATCTGTACCCTGTTCTTTTAATTCTTGTCTTGTTTTCAATTCTCCTTGACTGTTTAGTAAATCTTTGTATCTTTTAATTTTATCAATATCCAATACATTTGGATAAATTAGCACCAATGGAGTTGAAAACCATTCTGGAGTTTTATTGTAATGATTCTTTTTTATCCTTTGCTTATCCCATGTTTGTAATAGTGCATCTCTAATTAAGTGTCTCTGGAAGTAACTGTGTTGTCTATTTTTCTATCCCATAAAAAGGCATACCACCCTATCTGTAAATCATGTCCCTCTGATGTTAAAATTCTTTTATTCCTTAATTCCATCCAGTCTTTGATCCAAATAAGAGTTGTTGTGTTATAGTATGTTTCCCAGTCTGGGAGTCCGAAACCTCCTCTTTCCATACTATCCTATAATGATTTTATTTTGATTCTTGATTTTTTCCCTTGCCAGATATAGTTCGTTATTAATTTGTTTAGATCTTTAAAAAATAAAAATATTTTATTTTTTTGGTTGTTTGAATGCCCATTTTATTTTCCAGTTCATTCTCCTATTTTTTTGGTGATGTTTTTCATTAATGCCTTTGTTTTGAGTTTATTAATTTTAAGTCCTGCTACTTTTCCATATTCTTCTATTTGTTGTATTAGTTTGGGTCCTGTCTGTATTGGTTGGTCTAAAATAAATACTAGATCATCAGTGAAGGCTTGAACTTTATACTCTTTTTTTTATTTTCAAGCCTTTTATTTCATTTTCACCTCTAATTTTAATTAACAATATTTTTAATATAAGTATAAATAATAAGGGAGATAGGGGACATCCTTGTCTCACTCCTTTTACTATATTAAATTTTTCGGTGGTGTCTCCATTTATTATCTTTGATGTTTGTATTGAATATATCTTTTCTACCATTTTTTTTAAATTTGATTTATATGCCGCCCTTCTCTGGAGACTCAGGGCAGCTTACAATGCATTAAGCAATAGCCTTCATAATTTTGTATATTTATACAAAGTCAGTTTATTGCCCCCACAAACTGGGTCCTCAATTTACCTACCTTAGAAAGGATGGAAGGCTGAGTCAACCTTGAGCCTGGTTTTAATTTTAAATAATTTCTCTCCGAATTTCATGCTTTTTAATTGCAAAATAATAAATCTCCTATTTAAATTATCGAAGGCTTTTTGGGCATCCAAAAATATTAGTGCCGCTTGTTTGTCTGGGTGTGCCTCATAATATTCTAATATATCTATTATAGTTCTCATGTTGTTTTATATTTGCCTTTTTGGTAAAAATCCATTTTGGTCAGGGTGAATACTCATTTATCACTTCTTTGAGTCTTTCCAAAATTATTCATGTGAATAGTTTATAATCTGTGTTCAGTAGTGAGATGGGTCTGTAAATTTTGATTTGTTGCTGATCTGTGTCTTCTTTTGGGATAAGGGTGATGAGGGCTTCTGTCCAGGAATTAGGTGTTCTGGTCTCCATGAGTGCTTCATTAAAGATTTCTAACAATATTTCAACTAGTGGTTCTTGAATTGCCTTATATAATTCTACCAGAAGTCCATCTGGGCTTGGTGTTTTGTTATTTTTCTGCTTCTTTCTTGCCTCCACTAGTTCCATTATAGTAATTGTCCCATTTAGTATCTCTCTTTGTATTTCCTCTAGTTCTAGCAGATCTTGTCTAAGTATTGTTTAATGTCTTCTTCTGATATATTTTCTTGGGAATATAGATTTTGAAAGAAATTTTTTGCTATATTTTTTTTCGTCTCTTCTATAGTGTATCTGTCCCTCCTCATCTTGTAACTGGTGTATTATTCTTTTCTCTTTTCCTTTTTTCAATCTGTATGCTAACCATCGCCCTGTTTTGTTTGCATGTTCGAAGTGGTTTTGCTTTGCCAATTTAATTTTCTGTGCCATATTAACTTGTGAAACCAAATTTAACCTGTGTCTTATTAAATCTCTTCTTTCTTTAATTTTATTATTTTGGGGTTCCTTCTGTAAGTCTGGTTCTAATCTTTTAAGTTCTTCTTGCAAATTATCCTGTTTTGTTTTGTTTTGCTTTGTTTTCTTTTTGCTGTGTATGCAATTGTGAGCCCTCCTATATATGCTTTTGCAGTGTCCCATAAATTTTGGAGTGATGTTTCTTCTTTTGTATTTATCCTAAAAAAAATATTCATTTCTTTTTCAATCATTTGTATATATTCTTTCTCTTTTAATATTTCTTTGTTCATCATCCATCTCTTTCTTTTCTTCTGGCCTTTCTATATCACCCTTAATGGATTATGATCCGCCCAGATATTTGTCATTATTTCCACCTCTTTTGTTTCTTTTCTGAGCTCTGGTGTCATCCTTACCATATCAGACCACGATTGATGTGGATTTGAATAGAATGTATATTGTTTCTTTTCCTTGTTTATTTCTCTCCATGTATCGTGTAAGTATAATTCTTGTGTCATTTCATGGAATGTATCTGGTAAAGTCCTTTTCTTTGTCTTATTTTTCTTATTGCTTTTGTAATCTTTTTTAATATCCATAATTGCGTTAAGGTCTCCAATTAACCATATATTTTCATATTCTAATTCTCTTATTTTGTTGTGTATCTTTCTATAAAATTCTTTTTGATTATCATTTGGTGCGTATATTGAGACCAATAGTATTGTTTTTTGTTCTGTTTTTATCTCGATCATTAAGATTCTTCCCTTCTCATCTGTGTATAGTGGTGTCACTGCATTTTTGTATTTACCAGCAGAGCTCATTATTTCTGGACTATCAGACTTTCCGTAGCTTGCCAAGAATCCTTATCAGTAAGCTAAACTGCGCGTGTACTCCACCCACATTCCTTCACACACTTTTTTTTTTTTTTTGTTCTCTTGCCAAAGAAAGGTCCGGCTGCTGAGAAGCAGCTGGCACGAACTTTATTTCAAAATGTAACTAATTAGATCAGTTAGATGTTTTATTTTCTTTATAACAAATAAATGAGTTTTCTTAGAAAATATCTTTGGGTTTTGTTTTCTTAAAGTATGCTTGCAAGGAAGAGTCTCGATCCACCCCTCGAAATCAAGGTGCGATTATCCCAAAGGCAGAATGGGATTAATCAGCACCCTGACATCTGGTAGCCAGAGGATGGTTGAAATTATGGCTTTTTTCCTTGCTCGTTACTTTGATAAGACCTCTAGGCTAATTAGACAGATATTTATTTTGCAACCGAAGAACGCTAACTAATTATCTGCTAAGATGCCGAAACAGAAGAAAAAGGGGAAAATGAAACTCAGAGCATTCCCTATTAATGACTTCAACCTCTCCTATGAAGAAGAGGCAGAAAGGAGGATTTCAAATTTCCAGCCCCTTGCTATAGCCACACGCCTAGAACTAGAAG